TATATCATGTAGTGCTTTGCAACTTGGTCCATCCTGTCCCAGCAGAGGGGAACGCTACACCCTACTAGGGCAAGGGAAATGCAGAGACCTTTTCTACCTACTTACCTTTCAACGCCATAGCCGCGGCAAGCACACCGACCACGTTGAATCCGACTTTATTCACGGATCTCGTGGGAACGCTTGCAGATATGAGCTGAGCCTAGGATTTTCCGTTTCCGTACCTTTGGTAGTCTGGGGAAACCTGTCATGAGAGAATTTATAAGCCACTTCATTGAAAATGAAAGTTCTTGGGAAACTTTATCACGTCTTGGCTCTCTTGCCCCCTTTCCCTTCCAAGGCAATACACCTAGTTACCGCGGCGGAAGTGCTACGGGAGTAGATCAGACGAGCGCGTGTCGACTTGTTCAGACGAAAAGGCGGAGATTCATTGTTCAACTACATACGTGCATCATCCTTGCAAGCAGACTAAGACCAACGCTTTGCGCACGAGCATCCACTTTGTTCCCTTTTTTTGCACCTACATCAATTAGCCTATTGCCGAGATATGAGTCTTGGGCGAACTACGTTTGCCGTCCACTGATACGCACAGCCCTCGCGCCAAAGAGGCTCATATGAAAGATTGAAGACTAGCTCGTCCTGAACGCCACTGAGCCTTCATATGTTTCACGTACTTCAACTCTCTTGTTGCTGCATGATAATGCAATATCAAGACCAGATTATGATGATTTTTTATTTTTATTTTTAGAAGCAAATTGTGGACGTGCCCAATCACGCCCTTTCCTGTGTTTACTGATCGCCGTGTCTTCTTGTCCATTGGTCATTACGACCATTTTAGGAAAAAAAAAAAAAACGGGGGGTACCAAGATGAACCAAATAAGCAATGTCTAGAATCTCACCAAATGTCCTCACTACTAGATCTACTATTGACAAATACTATATACTCGGTATTAGTTGTCACGTTTCCCTGTGAGGAGAAGAGGAGCCAAACAAACGGTACTTTGAGATCTTAACTCCGGAAGAGAAATCTGACATCAGCGGCTTTTGGACGGATGCGGGACTTGTGGGATGGTTCATAGTCACTTTGATATCTCGTTCATTTTAATCTCGTCTTTTCTTTCCTCCTTTCTGGAACTAAAACTGACTCGTCAGAGAAAAAAAATAACGTGCACGACGCCGTCGTAAACGCGGGTCATCTGTTTAGTAGTAGTAATAGGATAGCGAACAAACTACCACAAAATCAGGCGCTAATCAAGTCTTCTTCCCCGTCTTCTATCCTTCGTATTGCATTTGATTATACTGCACTACAGTAGTCTGATAGCCCGTGGTTAATATCTATTAACCCCACGACACGTGGTTAAATCTTCTTTATCGATCTCATCTCGATCTATTTTTATTTTATTTTATTTTGACTTGATCTTTAGATAGAGGAAGAGGGCAGTGGGTAAGATGGGATAAGCAGACAGCATGTGCGGAATGTCATTAGAAATCGTTCAACCCCGGGCTGGGGCGAACACTTTGCACTTTCGGCACACCATCAGCTCACCTTACCCTCACCCAAGGCATTATGATCTGCCACCTGCTGCGTTCTTTTTCTTGCGCTTCAACAGCCTCTCTTGCTTTCCACCTCGGAAGAGAACACTTTCTTTCTGGTGTTCGGCATCTATGAATAGGTATGTATTGTGGGGTTAGGTTTATTATCGCAAGGCATTTCTATCCGAGGCAGTGCTCCTCTGCCCTTTGCCATATCCTTGATGATTTGCATCATTCATGGTATTATTTGATCTCGTGTCTACGAAAGACATGGGTATTCCCACGACATTGTAGTAGGAGAACCCCCCTCTCACCCATGATCTACTGAAACATGCCTCATACTTGCAAACTCCGGAAATAAAAGGCCTCGAACAAGGAATACCTGCATGTGCTTGGCGGGCGAGAAATAAACCTCTCATACGCCTTTTGCCTTGTTTCAAACATTTGTATATCACTGCTGTATAGAGATCTGCTGATCAAGGCCGTTCCCACTGCGCTAACTCGTGATATCCATGTTGCATCCACAACCCCCTCCTCACCCAACGCCGATCTCATGAATGGATATCACAGTACCAATGGGTACCTGGTAGGGATGATCCCTAAAATCAAGATGGTATCCCTTGTCTTTGCTTCCCCCCCAAAAACTCCCATTGCACCCGTATTCGATAACTTGATTTGCTAAAAGGTGCCCAGCTCACCACAAGCCTCGTAACAATACTTCTACAGCGAGATATGAAAGACCTTGGTCTATTCAAAGTCATCGTCCTCATCCTTGATGCCAACCTTTTGCTTCCATTCATCCACTTCTGCAACGGGCACTCGACCCCTCAACCAACGAAGGGTGGCTTCAGTGCCACGCTCGAGAACATCCCATCTCGGGACTCGAAAGCGATTACCAGTGACTTCTAAACGTTGCAAGTTCAGCAGACCAAGACGCGGGTTGAGGTGTGCGATCTCGTTATTGTCAGCCGCCACAACCCTGAGTCCCGCGACCGAGGTTGGATCGAGTTCTTCAAGTCGATTGTTGGAGACGAGGAGTACGTCGAGCCTTGGAAATGACTCGCGCAGGACGGGTAGCGTAGCAACACGATTGAAAGAGATATCGAGCTTCTGAAGGTTGGGGGCCTGAAGGTGAGTGATCAATGGAGCCAGGCTTGCGATCTGATTATGTGCGATATGAAGTTCCCTCAGGGCAGGAAACTCGAACCCCTCACCCATGAATGCTTCGCCATCCAATCGATTGTGAGATATGTTGATAGAGGTAAGAGTGTCGGCAAAGAAGGATAGCGAGTCCGGAAAGCTGGGAAAAGTATTGTGCTGTAAACGAATTTCACGAACAGCGTCACCACCAACAAGCTTTGAGCAGATGACGGGATTAAGCGACGATGAGTTCGTATTGGCACGGTCGAGAACGCCACCGGGTTTGATCGGCCATGTCAGGCTGCTCAGAGGTCTCGACCTTGCTCCGATAGGAGATTGGGGCGCCGACGTTGGGGGCGTCGCAAAGTTGTCCGTATCTGAGCGGCTTTCGTTGTCATCTTGGTCATCTCTAAGGCCCTGAGCCTTGCCTGGCTGATAAAAGTAAGACTCATGGTCGGCTGACTCAACAACTTCGTTGCTAGGCTGCTCGACACCAGCTTGCTCTTCGGGCAATGGCGTTAGCCTCGTTGCTAAGCTGTCTTTCAACTCTTCTGTTGTCATGGAAATGAACTTTTTGTCCCTTAACGGATTGCCAGCCATGCGAAGCAATGCAAGCGAGTCCATGCGCGCAATTTCTGGGGGTATGACGCGAATGTCGTTACTTGTGAAATCTGCTGATTTAATGCTCTCGGACGAAAGAAACCCATCTGGGAACGCACTTATGCTGTTCTCAGCAGCGTTGATTGTCATGAGACTCTTCCAAGTGCTGAGATCTGGCAGAGAGTTGAGACGATTCATCGAGACTGTGAGCTGAAGAAGAGAAGGCATGGATATTGGGCCTAGCGCGATCAAACTCAGTTGATTATTCGAGACATCAAGCGTCTGCAGATGCGGGAGCGCCTCGACCTCTACATCGACCAATGTGCCCTTCAGTTTGTTCTTTTGTACATAGAGCTCAGTAAGTGGCAGTTGCGCAAGTGCATCAAAAGGCAGAGACTCGAATGAATTCTCGTTGAGGTTCAGCACACGAAGCCGTGTCAGCCGCTCGAAGCCGTCCGGCAATGCGTCAATCTCATTTCCTTTCAGATCCAAGGCTTCCAAATTGACTAAAGAAGCAAAAGACGAGTTCATCTTGCCCTTCAGGAGATTGCCGCCGAGCTTGAGATCTCGCAACGAGCCAATTTGTGATAAGATCTCGAAAGAGTCATTGGCCAGCTTGTTTTGAGCCTGGTCATTGGTAGTTAGAATGCAATTTCATGTTTCCAAAATGGTTGATGCACTCACAAGGTTCAGGGAGGTGAGGTTTTGAAGACGCCTCAATCCCAACGGCAATGCCATCAGTAAGTTGCCATGTAAGTCGAGAGCCTCGAGTCCACCAAATTGGTGACCATTGCCCTCATCGGCGTCCGCAAAATCCATGGGATCGGTATCAGGAAAAACGGAGTCGTCGAGAACCTCAAACTCATTGTCAGCGGCGATCAACCTTGTAAGATCGACACTTTCAGCCCAGCTAGCCCCGTGGCCAACAGACTCGAGATCGTACATCTTCACAACCTCATCTGGCATTTGCTTCAACCCCATCGCGGCAATGTTCAATCTACCAGTAGTTCGTGCCGTTGCAATCCGCGACTGCATCACCTTTCGATTCGAGTCTTCAAATTGCCTCTGATTGAAAGGATCTTCCGCGAGGCCAAAGTCAAACGTAGCATCAGTAGGTATCAGGGGAGATTTGAGCGGCGCAGCTCCTGTAGTCACGGGAGCCTGTTGATTTGCAGCAGCGCGCCTAGCAGCCTTGGCCTTTGCAATCTGCTCTCGCAATGCTGATGATGATTTTGGGCCAGTAGTTGCCGATGGACTTTCTTCAACCGAATCAACCGTAAGAGCCGTAGAAATGGTTGACGCGCTAGAAAGGTTGCGTTCCTTAAACGATGAGGCAGTATTCATGGTAGCTAAAGATTGTGTTGATGTTGCTGATCCTTTGCGGGGTCGCCGCGCCGGGCTTACTGAGGGTTTACTTGACGACTGGCCAAGGCTTGTAGATGAAGACTTTTTGGATAATCCCGGGATTGCAGATTTCGGCCTTAGTGAGCGAGATACTGGAGTGAGAGTCTCGGGTTTGGACATTATATCATCCAAGTCTTCCGGACTAGGTGTCCGTCTTCCAATGGCAGATAATGGTGGATTCGATGAAGCCCTTTTCGCGCCCGCAGCTCCACGAAAAGAAAGTGGCTTCACGAGCCCAGAAGCTGCCCCAAATTGCGCTTCTTGTGCACTAGTTGGCAGCGGCTTGTGTGTGCTCGAGGGGGCTCTGAGACTGCTGTATACGCTTTCTGGTGGCCCCAATCGAGAACTCGGACGACTGAGAGATCTAACGCTTGAGCTATCATGTTGATGGCTGGAACCAGGTCGTGAGCTTCCACTCGCAGCACGGGAAGACGGCCGCCGGGATGCCAGTTCAGGATCAAAAAAGTTCGATCCCCGGCGCTTCGCTGCCGGAGACGTCAGCTGTGAGAGCGTCTCCATGGTCCTCTCAGCAAGAGACATTCCTGGTTTGCTGTTCTCTGAGTGGATTCCTAGCGCATCAGAGCTAACATCTTCATGGGTTGGGCGTGACGGCGAGAATTCGTGCGGGCCATCCTCGTCGATAGCAGACCCATTCAGAAAAGTGCTCGACTCGGATTGGCCTGACGGCCGCCTGCCCACAACAGGAGATTGTTTGAAATGTCCATCATAAGCTGCCTGCGTGGCGCGTTCAACCCTAGGTTCTTGAGATATACTCCTGGTTTTGGTGCCTCTGAGGGCGACTTGCGAGCTCACCGGCGGACCTGCTAGTCTCTGGGGTCTCCGCGACGGCGTTGAAGGACCGGTGCTGGTAGCCCTGAGCTGTTCTCTCGAGGCGGGAGTCCGGAGCCGGGATCCGTTGGCAGGTTCTGAAGCTTTTGTTTCGACCGAACTTCTTGGGTGGGCGAAGCGGCCTCGGAGGCCCTCTGCAGACGGAGCTGTTCGGATGGAAGACGCGGGCGTTGGAATGCCTGAAGCTCTCGGTTGTGGTAGTCGCGAAACTGGCCTCGGAAGAGCGCTGGACCTATTGGTCGTCGTCGAGGTGCTCAGACGTTTTTGATCCATGCTCAATTTATGCTTTCATACGCAGTCGAGCCCGCAGCGGCGCGGAGCGGGGTGTTGGATTGGGTGCTCCCGGGGGACCAGCTCAGGAAGCTGAACAGTCGTTGGATGAGTGTCCAGACAGACACAGATGGGCGCAAGTGCAGGTGCAGATGCAGATGCAGATGCAGAGCCAGCACGAGGCCAAATAGAGTCGCAGAAAGAAGAGTACAACCGCTCACGCTGGCCGCCCAGGATGTGGACTGAGTCACCTAGGTTAGCGCAGTGCTACCACCTCTTTACCATCCAGGCCCTGATACGTGGCGATGTTGGGCAGCATGGAATACCTAGGAAGAAGAAGTACGTGACGCCAGGCTATGACCAGACCTGACCTACTCCAAAGCAAGCCAGTGTTGGCGAGGGGCAATCCGTACCAACCGTTCCTAGGTCGGGTAAAGGGTTGGTAGGTAGTATATCGTCTCGGTGCGGGCCGAATGTACGCACTGAGATCAATGAGGCTTTTGCGGGAGGCTTCAGTGGGTTCAAATTAGGTAGGTACCTGGGAAGTAGCACGTAGCAGTAAGAGTTTGGGACGGACGGCACGTTTGACGCTCCCTTCTATGCGGCTACCTTATTCACTGCACAGCGAGTATCAAGAGCAGCAAGAGCATCAATTGGTTAAGTATTGCAAAGGGGAAAAGTGTTCAAAAGTCAGGTATAATTTCGTCTTGTTGCCCGGCCATCCATGATATGGGGTTCATCATTTCGCCAACAACGATTCATGACAGATTAGTAGTCTGAAAAGCCACTATCTTGAAATTGGTGGGGAAGCCATCTACGCATACGAAATTGTAATTGATGGTCATGATTAGGGATATGTTGCAGCCCAATTAACGTAAAAATTAAGCCTGGAACAGCGAGACCTGTAAGATTCCGTTTTGCCATTTCACTGCAGTTCGGACACGAGAAGATTAGGCGATCATACTTCATGCCCGCCATTCTTGTGCAGTTGCTCCAGATCAAAGCACGTTTACTAAATCCCTACCTACGTAACCTAGATAGCAAGGTGGTAGGTATTGGGACCCAAACATGGAGAAGATTCGATGGGAAATAAGATCATACAGAGAGAGACAGAGACACGGGCTAGGCGCGGGCTATCCCGTGATAAACCCCAGATTGTCAATTGCCATCATGATATCGTCTGGACGTCTGAAACGAGAAGTCAGAGGAGCTGCTCAACATGGCAAATGGCTTGGTCACCCCCGCACATTGTTTCATCGCCAATTGTCCAGGATTTGATCCTTCCCCGAAGCAGATACCAATTGGCAGTGACTGTCGCGACTCTCTAGTCATAGCCTGATTATATCCTCGAGTAGGGAAGGAGCAACAGCAATCTCCAGTCCGTGTGTCGCTGAGAGAGGAGAGACTATCTTTGCATTGAATTTCAAGATGCAATCAATGTAAATACATGGCAAGCAGGAGTTTTGGTGCATGTTGACCAAGCGCTATGGCAAGAATATACTAGGGGAAATGTATTATGACGTATGGACCCAGCCGCAATCGTGATTCGATACTGCTTAAAGCGCGATGTATCAGTTCAATCAAGACTGAGGGTTAAGTGTCTGTACGTCTTCAGTATTCCAGGATGCGAATTAATGGGGCCCCGGATGCACCGAAATACATAGTACTGACCACCCAGATCATGCTGAATGAGAAATAAGAACCTGGCAAGTCGCTTATGTACACGCAGGCCACATGCACACAGTTTGAGCGGCATGTGGTTGCCAACTTTATCCAGCCTCCTCCGTGCCCATGGGGTTCGTTATCCCCCTTTGGGCCTTCTAATTTTTTGACTTTATGGTTGCCGCTGGCTGGGCAACCACGCAGATCCCAGCTGAGAAAGGCCAACTCTCAGCTTTTGAACTGTACACCTTCGTCGATTCGTGTTCCCCTCGCCTTCTATTCACAATTCTCTCATGCCGCATTTCTTGTCTTTTTTTTTTTTTTTTTTTCATGAAGTGGAATGCAATGATTTCTGGAAACAAGCCTAGGTAGCCATCCATCCATCCATTGGATCTTGTGAGAGTCAGACCTCTGATCTGGCTCTGGTCTACTAGACTGCTCCGCTCAAAGGTCTTATCACTTATCGCAACCACCCAACCTGCCCATTTCTGCTCCGCTCGCCTTTTCCCAATGCGCCAAATCGGCCTTCCATCATAATCGCTCTCACACTTACATTTCAGTATCTGGTTCCGCGTCAACTTGCGACAAGGCACTTTGGTCTCATTACCGCAGCAAAGACTGTCAGTCAGTGCTAAGACCTTTTCGCGTTGTGTGCGCGGTGGGCTTCAAGTATCAATCGCATTACCATCAGGCCGCCCGCTCGACTCATACCCCGAGCTCAGCTCAGCTCAGCTCATCCCCCAATTCGCACCATGACAGCAGGCACACAACAACCAAACGGCGTCGTCCGCGACGCACCTTCAACCCCGCCGGAAGCTGCCATGATCCTCTCACAACAGTCACTCCCTTCAACAGAGGAACCCTCTTCGCCCGCAGATCCTGCATCGTCTTTCAAGACCGAACTCAACGACGACCGGCCGGCTTCCCCTCTAGTCATTCCCTCGTCGCTAACCCCGCCGCCCTCATCTCAACCACCACAACCCAACGGCGCCGCGGGACAACCATTGGGTTATACCAGCTTACAAAGATCCAGCATGTTTTCGCCGCCAGCAACCACAACCGCCCCTCTGCGCCGTGATAGTCACGCGGCACCTGCAGACCACGCTGCGCCCACCGGAGAGCAGATTGACGACGCCTCCGCCGATGATTTGCGTCAAATGCTGAGGGCCTCTTTGTCGGACAACGCCCGTCTGAAGATGGAAATCGCTCATCACAAGCTCCAATATAACCTGCTAAGCATGCAGGCTGACGAGGCAGCCAAGAGAGCTGCTGTTGAGCACGAGATGACCAAACGTGAAGTCGAGGTCCTGCGCGTGGCCGAAAGTGCCCGACAGGCTCGGCGCGACCAAGAAGCGGCCGTTGAAAGTATTCAGCTCAAGTACATCCAGCTTAAGGCCTCTTACGAAGCGGCTTGCGACGACATCGACTCCTTGAGGAAGCGGGAAAAGAGGTTCAAGAAGGTACTCCAACAGAAAGAGGACGAGATTATAAGCCTGACGGATGACCGCGAATTACTCCTGCAACGCATACGAGAAAATCGAGAACATTTTAATATTCTTCGTAGCCCGGGCGGGGTTCTGCATGGATCTGTCATGCCCAGATTGCCTCCAATAGTTTCTCCCCAGCAACATCGCACAACCCCACGGCAGACGCCCAGGTCCCATCGCCGGGAGGAAGACGAAAACCAGCGCGGCTTCCAAGTGCTTCTTCAAGCGCTCAACCATGATAATAACAGTGCACCTTCGACACCGACCAGCAGTCACCACCCCACGCCTCGAACGCAACCCAAGCACACTCGCGGAGCGCAATCCATGTCCTCTTTGCCGACGACACCCATGGCCAAGCCCCGTGGCCAACACTCTACGCTGCTGCCTTCCATTGACCTTGTCCCACGGACAGAGCCTGTGCCTCGTTTTGGGCCAATTCACCACATTCCCGAGCCGCGATCTGTCCAAAGACGTAAGAGCAGGGAGAGTACAATTTCAGCCGACGATAATGAGGAGCTTGCTAGAGCCGCCCTTAGCATGGCTGCTGTCAATAGGTCAATGATGTCGGCATCATCCGACAGATCGGTATCACGAGCCCATCGTCGGCCTGAGGGCGGCGAGGAAGTTTACCAGAGTCAAGCGAGCCAGGCAGCGTCCGAGATGCTACGGCGGGATCCTCGCGAGAGCTTTGACGAGGTTGCAAGTTCTGGGAATTCCCGCGATGCCACACCGGCACCAGCTGAGAGGAGTATGAAGCTTCAGACACGGCTATTCGCCCCAATCACCAAACCTGGTCTCGGCGCAGAGAAACGCAAGTACACTGGTCATCAATCTGCCTACACAGATGGCAAACACGAATCCTTCACCAGCCCTGCTAAGAAACTCAGAGTTGAGCCGAGAAGCGCGGATGCTCGTAGGGTCGGCTTGGGTATTCAGTATAGCCCGTAAAGGTAGTGACTGAGTCACAGAGTCTTTATCCAATTATTTGGGACAGGACAGTAAGGGGCATAAAAGTGCTTGGATCGGACGACAAACAAGTTATCAAGATGAAATTACGGTTCATGACCACGCCATGATTGGAGAGGCAGGATTGCTTGACGGCGTTCCCTGATTTTTACTCGAATTTGTGTTATACCCTTCCAGTTGAACATGGTCTTGCTTTATACGAGCGGATGTCAAGAAATTTGAATGACTGACCGAGCTAACGGTATCGAAAATGAGTGCATGGGAAAAGTTGTGGACGAGAGATAGCATCAAACAGATAGAACAAAGTACAATCAGCAATTAAAGATGAAATCGCGCTTCTTGTCTTGTCAACAATCACATAGTGTGTATATTCAGACACTCATCTAGGTTAGTGCAAATAAGCAATCGTGAAGCTTGACAGACAAATAAAGTTACAATACGCAGATAGTTCTACCCATAAGCAGAGCTGCATCTCATGAGTGGATTACCTAAGCTGTTGTGTCCTATGTCGGACAATTGGACCATGTAATAATGAACAATGGTGAGAAAAAGGTCGGGACAACCAGGCCATGTCTCTTAGCCGGGATCGTTGCCGACGCGGCGGAAATCGCTTCCTGTCTCATAATCAATTGGCCGGGCGCGGGCCGGGAATGCTTTTATCCCCCACTTCCGGAATGGCAGTTGAAGTCGGGAGCTTCAGCTTTGGGGCTAGGTGTGTTTGTCCCCATGGGGTATTCTCACCATTCTCCAAGATTGGCTCTTCTTTCTATCTTTGTGTGCTCTTCTTCCGATGCGTAGTTTGCTCAGGGATTGTAACCTTCAATAATATTTGTTTACAGGAGTCAATTGCTCGTGCACAACGTGCCTCTCCGCAGCTAAGTCCCTTGCCCAGCTTGCGCCCGCCGAAGCCGGACTCCACAAACCGAACAATCACCATGGCGTTGCCCAAAGGCCTCAGCAATGTCCTCGCAAAGGCGCCCTCAGATATTGTGATCCTTTCAGCTCTGAGGACGCCCGTATGTCGGTCCTACCGTGGCCAGCTCAAGGATGCCTACCCCGAGGAGCTGCTCTCCGTTGTCCTTCGCGCCACCCTCGATGCGAACCCCAACATGCCGCCCGAGGCCGTCTCAGACGTGGCCGTAGGTGTCGTTCTTTCCGAGCTCGGCGGTTCCAAGGCCGCCCGTATGGCCATGAACCACGTTGGATTCCCCAACTCGACATCGCTTTACACCACCAACCGCGCCTGCTCTTCCTCCCTTCAAAGTGTTGCCTTGGTGGCCGCCCAGCTGCGGACGGGCATGATTGAAGGTGCTGGTATCGCTGCTGGTATGGAGAGCATGACGCGCAACTATGGCAGCCGCGCCATCCCCGTCGACCTGTGGCCGGAGCTCAAGGACAGCCCGAACAAGGACGCCAGGGACTGCATCATGGCCATGGGTCTCACGTCCGAGAACGTGGCTGAGCGGTACAAGGTTGGCCGGCAAGAGCAGGACGAATTTGCGGTCGAATCGCACCGCCGGGCCGCCAAGGCGCAGAAGGACGGCGCCTTTGACGCCGAGATCGTCAAGGTCCGGACGCGCTTCCAGGAGGTCGACAAGCAGGGCAACAAGGTGGGCGAGGAGCAGACCATTGAGGTTACCCGGGACGACGGCATCCGCAGCAACGCGACGCTCGAGGGCCTTGCCAAGCTCAAGCCCGCCTTCAAGGCCGACGGTGCCAGCACGGCCGGCAACTCGTCGCAGGTCAGCGATGGCGCGGCCGCCGCCCTCCTCATGAAGCGAAGCACCGCCACCGAGCTCGGCCTGACGTCGAGCATCATTGGCAAGTTTGTTGGCGCCACCACCGTCGGCTGCAAGCCCGACGAGATGGGTATCGGCCCGGCCCTGGCCATTCCCAAGCTGCTGAGCCAGTTTGGCATCGAGAACAAGGACGTCGACCGCTGGGAGATCAACGAGGCCTTTGCCAGCCAGGCCATTTACTCGGTGCGCGAGCTCGGCCTCGAGAAGGACTGGGAGCAGGGCAAGGTCAACCCCGACGGTGGCGCCATTGCTCTTGGTCACCCTCTCGGTGCCACTGGTGCCCGCATGACGAGCACTCTCCTGCACGGTCTGGGTCGCTCGGGCGGCGAGGTTGGTGTCGTCAGCATGTGTGTCGGTACTGGTATGGGTATGGCCGGTCTGTTCGTGAGGGAATAAAGCACTCGCAGAGACCAGCTAAAACAAAATCAAAACAAATAAATGTACATAGGGGCAGGCAGCTAATTGGTTATGGTTTACATAAAATTATCTTGTATATTCCACAGCCCAAATAAACGATACAACAAAGCCCCTGGTGCAGTCTGACTAGATGGAACGGGCTGCAGTGAGTGTACTAATGATCAGCAAACAAAGAAAAGTCGTTCAATCTACCACCCGTCTAATCGCATGCCCGCATGCGGGTAAGGAAAACAAAAAGGTTCATCAATGGGCCCAGTCTACACTTTGGTATTACCCCAGGAACCCGACTGGCATTCTTTGGCCTGAGATCATGGCTGAACACATCATGTGTGCGTCGTGTCTCACGAAACCCATACAACCAATAGCACAGCACAATTTTCCAGTTGAGCGACATAAGTTCCCATTTACGGATTCATCAACAGACATCAATTAGATACTTTTATTTCACCACCAAACGGCGGAGTGCCGAGAGACGGTACGAGCCTCGCTGACTCGGGCTCAAATTAGGGAGGGACGGAGAGAAATATGTACCTCCTCATCCTGGCGATACCGGTGACATGGACGCTCGTCCTGACCATTTACCTGCTCAAAAACCCTCGGACACTCGCGGGTCTGCTACGATGGACGCTGTGGACGTATCTCTTTGTGTTTGCAATGCTCATCTCCGAGGTGGTACGGGAAGGGCTCAAGGTCCAGGCGGCAGTCGACGCCAATACGAACAGCAGCCGCGGTAACGGCCACGTCTTTGTTGTTGGAGACGTTGGCGGCAGCAACAGCGGCGGCAGTCTCCCCGACCTCTACAACGCGGGCATGGACCACCAGGAGGTCGTCCAGGACGTTGGCTTCTGGTGGTTCCTGTGGGCCCTCCTGATCGTGTCGGGGGCCTTGACCCCTTGGGCCCTGGTGCCGGCGACGGCGCTGCCCGTGGTCCTGCTGAGCCACCCGCCCTTTCGCGTGCTCATCAACTACGGCCTCGCCCGCCTCGGCTGGACCGCCGCCGTTTACAATCCCGTCCTCTGGGCCGCGGCCCACCTGGGGTCCCTGCTCTGGACCAGCTGGCGGACCGTCCTGAGCGTCGTGGTCAAGGGCGACTGGGCTGCTTGGATCATTGATAAGGTGGTGGCGTCTGGCGGAGGCCCCGACAAAGTATGAGTGGGCTCAGTCGTGAATATGGGGTGTGCGAGTGTGTGTGTGGGGTGTGGATGATCCCCCTTTGAGGACCGTTTTCCCTTTTCATGAGAATGCAAAGGAGGTGAAGTGGGAGAGAGTATCATTGGGAAGACTTTCCCTGTTGATTGTTCTTGGCGTTCATCGTGCTGAATGATGAGGTGGCAATATGACAACTCCTCCCCCGTGGGTATTTCCCGTGGGTAAATCGGAAAAGACGAAAACCAAGATGTGAGGAAGGAAAAGAGAGGATCAATGATAAGGAGGGCAAGAAGGCAAGGACATGAGTCGACGTTTCGGTACAAACTCTCATGACGTGATTGTAATTATGGAAATCCACCACCAACATGATTTCAAATTCTTTTCTTTCACCGGTCTGTATAGTCTGCAACCAGGGGTGCTGGACGTTTCACCGGTTAAGACAGCGCAGCGAGCATGACGACGACTGAAATAGACGAATAGACCCTGGAGACCATCCGACTGGTGGTTTGCTGTCCGCTAAGACAGGGCCCTATTCCAACTTCAGTGCCTTCGGCCGAATATATGTAGCGCTGTTAGCTCAATGCAGGCACTTTGTCTAGGCCTGGATATTGGTGGTCATTGTTTTCTCTGTCGTGTGTATGGGATCCCACGTCGCTCTCGAGGGATTCTCGCAACCCTCACTTGATTTTAGTTTTTTACCCGAGATACACGACGGAATATCATACTCATTGGACACCAGACGAGATGAACCATTGAATGACTTGTGTGAATATCTTCTCACCATCCATCCACTATTATTCAACTATTTGTGATTATTTGGAATAACCTTTCATCCTCCCACGCTCAATCTAAGCGAGGCAAAGGACAGTCTGATGTCAGGTACTTTCAGGCTAGGGCGGCCGCGTGCTAACTCGCACCAGGATACCATATAATCGGTCCATGAAGGCCATGTCGAAATCCACTTTAAATCATATGATATCGCACAATATACCCTTTGAATCTTTAAAGTTACGGACGTGAGTTGAATCCTTCTAATGTAGTCTTCATCGATAGTCTTATCACCACAAAAACATATCCACTATCGCATGAGAGCTATCAAGTGGCCGACATCATTCTGCCTTTCACTGCCTTATCATAAAGCCAGGCTATAAAATAGTATGATCAATGCCCATAAGATAAGTTATGAATCTTATCTGTGTGTAACAACGTCAATGGCAAAGCGCGTTATGAGACGACATTATGTAAGCCGTATCTAGGTAGGATTCATCACTGTGGGCCAATTCCTTTCTCCCACGGTACATTGCATTAGATCCGGGCATCAGACGAATCTGAGGTCATGGGTGCCAATCTACCAAAAGGTAGTTTTGGTTGGGTGCATAATGGCAAAGCGGTTGGTTGCCAATGGGCAATAATCGATGACAGCGATTGTTGGGGGGTTTGCTGCGTGGGAGCCCCGAGGTTTCAACCCATGACACCAGAGTGGATTGCATTTTTCATTGTTCTCGGTATGTGTGTATGTATGAATATGCAAACTAGCGGCGCAGGATCGGTCTTTTGTCTGCATTGCAGTGGTGTCGGGGAGAAAAGAATGAAAGGAAAAGGGTTGATCGAGAATGGGGGTTTCCCTTAAGAGACAACCACTCACGATGGCGTCTCCCTTCTGCGACGGATTTCTCCTCCTATGCACAACCTAGGGCCAACTTTCAGAGTATGGCAAGAGTTTGCGAGGCCCACTCTGTAGGGGAACAAACAAGCTAGCCAGTTCGGAACATCGCTTGTATTTCAAATCCCTACCGGCATTCCCTTGATCGTACTTACAGGATGCAGAAGGCCGGTCCCCCAATATGAGCCGCAGAGAGAGCACATTCGTCTCTTGGTGGACCAGACAGAGCACGTCTGGTTTGCCGCGGATGCAGGGCAGATGCAGCCACCGCGCAGCCAGCAGCACGAACGGGAGGGAGGCGTCTTTTCATTTTTCTTCTTCTTCTCCGTGGATTTTCGACCGGTCTCTGATAGTCCTACGGAACCCAAGCGAGGGGGTGGAAAAGGGGGGAAATCTCGTGGGTATAAATATACAATAAACCCAAGACGAAGTTTAGATTTATTGTCGAGTTAGGCTGTACACACGAGAGTAAGAAAACTAAAAGGGTGACAGTCAGCACTTGTCATGCACGCGTGGACAAAATCAAAACAGACCAAACGAAGAGCGTAACACAGTCTGGGCTTTTTTGAGTGCTTACTGCAGTTTACCGAGGCGTCATAAGAACTCTAATTGAGAGATATAGCAACTGCCGAAGGAAAAATCACAGCACAAGTCATGGCAATCTCAGAGGATCAACGGCGGGCCCGCAGACCCGGAGTCATGCACGTCGCCGTCCTCGAATGCGAGACGTTGCCCGATGCTATTGTCGAGGCTCGCGGTAATTTCGCCAACATCTTTAACCAATGGCTCCAGACGGGCGTCAACAAGGTCAACTACAAAAGACCACCCCAGAGACGCACCTCCATTGAGGTGACCAGGTGGCCTGTGGTGCATGGAGTATACCCGAGTGACATCACCAAGGTGGACGCTTTCATCATCACAGGCTCCATTTGCAGTGCCTATGATGACTATCCTTGGATCCGGGCGCTGGAGGAGTTCGTTAGAGGTTCGTATGAAGATATCCAATGTCAAACTTTTATACGAATCGTGCATTCGAGTCTATGCTAACTCGTAGACTTGAACAGTGGTATATGATACTCACCCTCACATCAAATTCTTCGGCGGTTGCTTTGGCCACCAACTACTTGCCCGCGTCTTTCTTGGCGAACATGGAGTAAAGGTGGTTGGGGCCGACTATGGCTGGGAGAACGGCGTCCACGATGTCAATCTTACACCTCAGTTTGTGTCACAGTTCCCTTTCCTCCAAGGACAGACAATGCGGTATCAGTTCCTCCACAGCGATGAGGTTGTCACGACTCAACCTCTGCCCCGGGGCTGGCTCTCGGTCGGGTCGTCCGACATGTGCAAGAACCAGGGGCTGTACCAGCCTGGAAGAGTCCTGACCTATCAAGGTCATCCTGAATTCGACCGACGCATCCTGTACTACTTTACCGACTTTCTAGGCAGTACTGGAACCATTGACAACGACGTCTACGAGACATCGCTCAAACTTATTGATCGGGATTCTACGAGCCAATTGGCTGCCGAGGTGGTGGTGAGGTTTCTGGAAATTTGAAGAGGCGCCAACCAATTGTGAGACAAAGGGGATTTCTTTGGTGTCGCTTCCGGTTTTGAATGTCTCGCCTGGGAATATGAGACATGTATACTCGATCGTTTGCGGCTTAGCTCCATTGGGTTCGAGAAGGCAATGGAATGCACATTCCGCTTTCAGCAGTATAAGCATTTATAGCATGAATGAGTGAACAAAAAAGAAATCCCAGTAATTTTCTCTTCTCCAAATTACTTTTGTGTTGGAGATTCAGTTGTTCAAAAACTACGGTGAAATTTCAATCAAGTGTGCAACGTTTTGCCACGGAATCAAGCCCACCACTGGATTTCACGACATCTACCTACCAGCATCTCTCGGTGCAGCTCTGCATCATGGCTTCAAGGGGTGCTACAGGCACGACTTCCACTGCAGCTGGTGGTACAACGGTGGCTCCGAGCACATCGACGACGTCTACGACCACAAGTACAACATCGACCACAGACGCTACAAAGACAAAAGCCACAACCAAGAAAACCAAGAAAACAGAGAGAGAAAAGCCTGTCCCTCTGCCTCCAGCCGTGCTTTGGGCGCAAAAGAACCTCTGGAAACCTACGGAGAATTTTGTCCGGACCGAAGCCTCACACCAAGAGTACCTCGTCAAGTCCGTCTACAACCGACAGCCCCGATATGTCGGACACTTTCTGTTCAGATTGATCCACAGTGCGAGTTGGATCCCGCGGTACATTTTTGAGCTCGTCTGCCTCCTTCTGAGCGTTACGACGACATTCATCGTCCAGCTCATTGACCTCGTCTTCACCGTCGGCTTTCGGGGCCTGTTTGCTTTTCCCTGGGCGTCGACGCTCTTCTTTGGTCTGGTCGTCGGCCTGCCCACGATCCCCTACGAGTTTTGGCTCCAAGACGATGTGCAAAATGCCGTGCTCTCGGGTGTCTTGGTCGCCGCGTGGTTCCTGTGGATGTCGCACCTGTACATGAACAGGCCGGAGCGCTGGCTGGGTTACACGCGGCTCGAGTTCTTCCCGTGGCTGTCGGGCGAGGAACTTCTAAATGGACCCTATGTTATGCTCGCCATTGCAGTTGCCGTCTTTGTGCACTTTCGAAAGGATTTGCTGACCTTGGACACGCGCACCATTCATGTTGAGAAACAGCCCATTCACTTCCAGGAGCCGCCGCCCGTCGAAGAAGAAGAACTGGAAGAATGGCCTATTGTTTGGGATTACTTTGCTACAACACTGACATTGTGGTGAAAAAAGAGAGTGGAAAGCAACGGGACAAGTCTGTTGTTCTGGAGATATTGATGGCAATGCCATTTCAAAGGAATTCATATTTATCTGTCACTCATAGCTGGTATCATCGATTAGACGAAAAGAACTGGCCCAAGAAAAAGAATTGTGTAAATCATCGCTTTTATGTTACATGTGCTTTCATTCCTCATCCATATCGTATGTTCAAACCGCCATTTTTGTAGTCCATGTGGATTGCAGTGACTTGAGGGCCTCTTCGTCCTCGCGCCTCTGAAAATCCGGATCGCGCTTCGCCCCATCAAAAGCACCACTGAGCCGAAGATCATGCCACCAGTTGATGAAATCGGCCGTCTGCATGGCAATCTCGGGCTTGGGAGGACGGATGCTGCGGTCTAGGTAATGCCAGGCCAGCTGCACGAGTCGCTCCTCGTCGACAATGGGCTGCGCGCCGCGGTTATGCACGTCGGCGAGCAGGTCTAGCCAGTCGCGGAGACAGCGCTGGTTGTTCATGTCCCTCACAGTGTACCAAATGGTCTCCTCCCCGCGCAGCGCATTGTGGTCAATCTCTTGCTGTATCCACCTCTTGACGTAGCTCTCGCCGCGCAGCTCAAACGACTTGGACTGCCCCGTCTCGGCGTCGCGCGTCTCCCGGCTCAGCCGTCGAAACTCGCGGTCCAGTTGGTGCATCCGTGCCCACACATCGCTGCTCAGACACTCAATGTCGAATATCAGCTGCTGGTGGTGGTTCCCCGAGGCGGACCCCCGCTCCATATTCTCCCCACACGAGTATTCTGCATTTTCCACCATGGCGTCCAGCGTCTTTCGGACGTGGATTTTGGATGCGGTCGAGGTGCGCGCTTCGAGCTTCAGGAGGTACTGAGACATCCTGGTCAGGTTGCGATGCGTTGACACCAAGTCATATCTTGCAAAGCTTTCTTCCTCGTCCGGAGTCGGGGGCAGGATCTTCTTTTCCGGGCTGTAAATGGCCGTCTGCGCCGAGGCAGGACTCGGCGCCGGTTTCATATCTCTTATTGCATCGCTGGGAGTCTCCGTTCGGCCGGCGAAAGGATATCTCATGGTGGATTCGGCAGCACTTTCTGCGACTTCTACACTTGCGAGTTCCGGCGCAAAGCGAGTCCCTCGTGCGCCTTTATACTGTACGGGATACGGCATCTTCCAGTATCTCCCCCCGACGACGGAATCCTGCGACGAGGAGGTTGGTTAGCCCGGAATATTTGACTTTGAATTCGGACTACATGCATATATAGGTGACAGCGGGCATTGCCCGTCATAACACTCTTTTGCAAGACAAAGGCGATGATGGCTTCTTTCTGCGAAAAAAAAGTGACTTATCGAATAAGCGCACAGGTCACAATGGCCTTCTTGGACATAAAGCAGCACTTGTATGCTTATTGCTTTTATCGGCACAATTTGAGAAACGAGACCACTTTCTTTATTCGGAAAAATTGCGAGATCCACGATGAAAATAATTCTTCAGCCAGTAACAATGTCTCAGACTCAATGCGGATGTCATGGAATTAAGTGGACCCTCTGTCCAATACCTATACGGCCCCAAGGTTTGCACCAACTGAAACCTTCATCACTTCACCTCACAGCAAAGAAAGCAGGTCTGCCACTGGATGCGAGTCAAGGCTCTCAATGGCCGCCAGAATCCCCTTTTGCGTCGGGCCGTCGTAGCTCGGCTCCGTCATGCCCAGGAACTTTGCGTGCACGCGTTCCTTGGAGAAGGGGTGCTCGTCCTCGCCCAGAGGATGCACGATGCCTTCGTCGCGGGTGGTACCGTCGGAAAAGTTAAACTTCACCCGGGCCTCGAGGTCGAGCACGGCCGGGTTGATGACCACCTTGACCTTGCGGCACCACGCCAGCACGGCCTCGTCGGCCAGCTTCTCGTACATTTTCCAGCCAATGTCCATGCCGTACAGCCAGGCAATGGCCACCTGATAGTACATGCTGAACTGGCCGTCGACAATGGTCTTGGGCTGCAGCTTGTTGGGGTCCTCGGTGCCGACGATGGGGAAGCAACCTGGCGACAGCTCCACGAGGACGCTGTCCACTTGCTTGTCTTGCGACTCGCTCGCGACGCTCGCGACAATCTCAATGGCTGAGTGGGTCATGCGGCACGCTGGGAACGGCTTCATGGCCGTTGCCGTAAAGATCCATTCCGCACCGAGTCCTTCCAGAATTCGCTCCGCGGTAGATGTGGTCGAGTACGAATGCAATACTCCATATCTACCCTCAATCGGTCTCGTAGCACCCAGTGCACCAGCCTCGGCGAGCGCGACCACCACAAAAGCATCGTGGACGGCAAAGCCCGGGTGAAGGCGCTTGTTCCACGAGCCATTGTCGAGAAACTGCATGGACCCGGAAGCCTGGGATAAGGCCAGACCAAAGGCGTCTTCAATCTGTGCGGTCGAGAGACCTTTGATCTTGGCAATGGCGGACACGGCGCCAAAGATGCCGGCGACAGCCGTATTGTGGAAGCCTCGGGTGTAGCCGCCATAGTTGAGGGCGCGGCCGATCCGGGTCGTGATCTCGTAGCCCACGGCGGCGCCCAACAAGAAAGTCTTGCCGTCGCTGCCAGACACCTCGGCCTGGGCTAGGGCGGCCGGGATGGCTGTTGCGCCCGGGTGGAGGATCGAGGCCGCGTGGGTGTCGTCAAAGTCAAAACTATGGGAGAATGCGGCATTCAAGAAGCCGGCATATTGTGGAGAGAATCTCTTGCCCTTGGTATAGACAGTACATTGTCCTGAATCGCCGTGCAAGGCAGTCACAGCTTTTAGAAATGGCTCCGTAGAGTCGGCAACGACGGCGGCGCCGGCAGAAATTCCAATGTGGTCGGTGATGAGATCTTTCAGCTTTTCAATGCCCTTCGCTTCGAGATCCTCATATTTTGCCTCTGCCACGAATTTACAGAGAGTCTTGGTAATGCCGTCGTTAATCTTGGTTCCATTGGTGGCACCATTCTGGGCCTCGCTGCTACTTGTTTGTGTCATCTTGTCCTGGCGGGGGATGCAAATACAGAGAGTAGTTTTGGGGGAATAGCAAACTCGTCTGTACAAGTCATCTTTGCCTCCCTCGGTACCTCAGCACGGATATAACTGGGCGGTAAATAGGTGTGAGCGTTTACAGAAGCATTATCATGGCGACCCAATCGTATACCCCACTCCACTCAACCCCACATTCTCCGCATTTTGCTACTGCCACGGCCTCGATGTACCTAGGCACATCAATCTTGGGGTCAATGATCATGTACTAGAGACGAGGACGACCTACGCCCAATGTCAGCTATAGCCGAGCTATGTTTGGTACACGTTCATTTTCGCAGTAGCACCAATTGTAGGAGTTCGGCAATAGTGAAGAGAACAGAAATCCCTTCGCTGATGCCCTGTAGTCGGCGCTGAGCCGTCTTTGGGACATGTCGAATATGCCAGCTCAACTTGTCCAGCTCTCTTACCTATTCATTTCATCTATTATATGATTGATTGCACAAACCTTTGTGACCCCAAGCTTGTGAGCACAGGAGTGCCGCATTGCAAGCATCAATCATGTTGCCGAACAATCTCGGTTCCCGAAATGTATTGAAGACTTGCATACTTTTATACTATGATGGAAACAGCAATTGGACGATGCCCAAAAGTGCTTAGCAGATCGCAGTTGACGGGTATACTGCATTAGCGTGTAAAGCTTTCCCCACAGTTCCTTCAGAGGTCGTTGAAGGTCCTGGAGAGCCTGGGAGTTTGCTAGAGATGCTCGCCTCAAGAGACTGGAATATTTGGACGTCAAGGAGATGTTGTATGCTCTGTAGTATTGAATCTCGTAAAATGTCTGTCGCATCATGTTAGGAATGTGAGTGGCTGTGCTGGAGGATATCTTATTTTGCATTTCGGGTGCAGGCCGTGATGGTGGGGTTTAATGTTAGCACCCGCGTCATAGTGAAGGAATTGTGGACAAAGGAATCGCGAGTGAGACTTGCTACGTCATTGCCCCTTGCGATGGTTTCTCTTATTTACCAAAAAACAAAAATAAATGCCTTGAGCAAGACTTTGGAGGTAGCAGCCCTCAAAGTCCCCGTCAACTGCGCAGCTACTCACACACAACAACAATAACAATCAACGATTCTTTCAGACAAATCAAACAAAAAATGGCCGAGGTTGCAGCTGGTGTTGTCGCTGCCGAACAGGTTCTTTCCACCACTGTCGAAGCTGGTGCTGCCGGTTACGCCATTGGAAAGCCCTCGAATGGCCTTAAAGCCACCCTCAATCAGATTGCAACCGCCGCAGCTGATGGAGCAAGGTATGATGCTTAAATTGGCTAGAGATACAGTTGTAACTCAGGGATATGTCACTGACACGATCATAGCAACTCTCTCGTCAGGTCGCACCATAGCCTAACAGTGGTGGGCGACAGAGCCTACATCTTCGGCGGACAGACCGAGTCTGGCACAATCGCAAATAACGACATCCATTCTTTCGCGCTCCCCACGGCAGACAAGCCTCAGCCAGACTACCACCTCACGCCCGCCATCACGTTCGAGACTGGTGCCCAAATACCCAAACCTCGGACTAGCCATGCTGCCTGTGCTCTCGGCGAGCGTCTTGCCGTGTTTGGAGGAATGGACGAGTCCGGTAAGGTCTTGGAGGAGACTACCATTTGGCTCTATGATCCGAACAAGTCAGCCTGGGAGGCGGTCTCGGCTGCATCCTCTACCATGACGCCAGTTGTCCGAAGTGGAGCTGCCATCTTTCCTCATGGAAAGGACCTTTTACTGTATGGGGGGAATGACGAGCATGGCAACTCGCTCGCCGATGTATGGGTCTTTGCGTTCTCAACTCATACCTGGGCCCGACTACCTGATGCACCCGTCTCAACGACGAGTGTTGCATATGCTGAAGGATCGCTTTACCTGATTGCTGCAACCGATGGACTCAGTAGTGCTCTGTACCATCTGGAAGTTGACGTGCATGGAGATGAGCCGCCTACATGGGACACGGTACAGTTCCCAACGAATCCATTGGCACCAGGCCCGAGACCGCGCGAGAACGGTGGATTGCTTCACGTCACGACTGGATTTGGCCGAAGCTATTTGCTCTATTTCCTTGGAGATCGCCAGTCCGAGAAGCCCGAGGGCGCTGAGTCTGCACCGCCGCTCCAATGGAGTGACATCTGGTCTCTCCAGCTGCCGGCCAGCCCACTCAGTGTTCAGGCAACTACTACTATCACCGAGGCGATCAAGCCCGCCAAGATCAAGGATGCCATCCGATCAAGGTTTGGCTACGACACGGGCGCCTTCAGCTGGGCTGAGGTGGAGATTAAGCCGCCTGGAGACCTACCGGAGCCGGAGGGCAAGGTTCACCCTGGACCGCGAAGCTCATTCGGGTGCGCTGTCTTGGCAAATAAGCGTGATGTCACCCTGTGGGGTGGAATTAATGCAAAGGGAGAGCGCGAGGGCGATGGCTGGATCATTCACCTGGAATAATTCAGAGAACGGAACACCGCTACTTTCAGGCGTTTATTACAATGGAATTAGCATTGATTATTGTAGTCAATTAGACTGAGATACCCCAGCCACATCTGTTCGTCGAGGCCAAAATGTGATAAGCAAAAAAGAGAAAATAAAGTTATATCGAATATGAATAACAATTTGCTTCAATAGTGATATTGATGAGGGTATGGTTTTGCTTGATTCTTTTTTTGTGTTTCGGTAACTTTTTCCTAAGGTTGATATCATATTCCACAACTATTTAGTTCCTTAAGGCTCACCCCAGATTTCATCAGCAATCTGGCGCACAAGCGACAGCTTCTTCTTCTGGTCCTCGAGAGTCAGGGGATATCCGCTCTCATGGGTAGAGAAACCGCACTGAGGGCTGACGCAGACGCGCTTGAGGGCCTCCTCGCGGGTCTGGCCGCTGCCCTGGGCAATGAAGTCGGCAGCCTTGTAGAGGCGCTGCTTGGTGGCCTCCTTGTCCTCGAGCTCGCGGAGCTTGGTGCTGATGGCGCCGACGACGACATTCTTGTTAGTAGGGAGGTACTTGAGGGGCTCGAAGCCGCCGGCGCGCTCCGTGTCGTACTCGAGGTAAAAGGTGTCGACGTTGAGCTCGGTAAAGAGCTTCTGGGCGATAATGTCGTAGGCGCCCTCGGCAAAGTGGCGGCCGCCGATGAAGTTGCCGCGGCACAGGTGGATACCGGTGTGGAAGTCAGAGGGCAGCTTGCTGATGGAGTCGTTGTACAGCTTGATGTAGGCGTCCAGGAGGTCGTCGACGGTGCCGTCGTTGTCCTTGTCCTCCTCCCAGCCCTGACGGAACTTTTCCGAGCAGAAGTCTATTTTGGTTCTTGTTAGCCAATCTCCTCCATTGATGTGGGATTTCGAGATGATGTGTTTCTTCAAAACGAGTCACGTGGAGTTTGTGTGGGAACTGAATACTTACAGGCCATTCCGGGGTCGTCAAACTGCACGTTGCGCAGGCCGGCCTTGTAGAGCATCTCCAGCTCGGCCTGGTAGACCTTGGCAACGTCGGCAAAGTACTCGGCGTCGTTGGCGTAGGCCTCGGGGGTGTAGGCCCTGCCCTGCTTGTAGCGCATGTGGAACCAGGCCGGGGTGATCATGGTGAGCTTGATGTCCTTCCACTCGCTCTCGGGCAGGGCGGCCTGGATGAGGCGGAGCTCGTGCAGGTTGGACACGGACTTGGCCGGGTCGTGCGTGAGCTTCTTGGAGGCAATGTGCGAGTCGCCCGGCATCACCTTGCGGTCCTTCTCAATCAGACTGACCACGTCTGGGTGGTACAGGCGGAACATGGAGGCCTCGGCATTCTGAAGTGCCTCGGTGCCCTCAAACTCATCCCACTATAGATAGGGTGTTAGCGATTTGTAGAATCTCAGGATGGAGAATGATCCATTCTCTTTTTTCTCGTTTCTTTTTGAGAAACTGGTTGATTCGACATACCATCATACCCCAGAAACGGGTACGGTTGAACTCGCCACTGTTGACGGCCTTGTAGCCGAGCTCGCGCTGCAGCTTGACGACATCGGCAACGGCAGCCTTCTCGACAGCCGGGAGACCGGCCTCCTCCTCGGAAATGCCCTTGTCCCGGATGGTGGCACGGATCTCGAGGAGGTTGTCAGGACGCAGAAGCGAACCCATGTGCTCGGCACGGAAAGGCGGGGCTTGCTTGGCAGCCATGGTGACTATGAATAATAGCTTTCTTTTTTCCCTTCTTCTTTCTTAAATGGTTGCGCTTAATTAATGCTGCGAGTATAGAACCGAGCAAGGGCAAGTTAAGTTAGAAAAAGGAAAGTAGAGATGCAGGACCTTGATGGTCAACTAAATATACTCTTGCTCGTGTGTACCCAGCATTGTGATTTGCCAATCAGCGAAGGGAGATTATTTTTTTATTCTCCATCAGGGGACCTCCCCGCACTGTCAGAGCCCTCTGTGGTTTTTTTTTTTTTTTTCCCCTTACCCTTTCCCAACCAAAACAGTTCAGAACCAAGCGGGGAAATAAATTCCTGTCGTATCGGTCCGGCTCTGTGCTATCCGCTGCGACCGCTACCAACTTTGGCAAGCAATTTTGCCAATATCCGGGTCGACAGTGGGGTCCGCGATCGCTATGGAGGGCCTAGCGGTTGAGTGGTTCCTCTTTTGGGACCCCTGGCTTCAGTGTAAACTCGGCCGACTCCGTCCTTGGAGCACTGAGTCCTAAATGGTAGGCAGTAGTTTTAACGCCGAAGAATTCCGAGGAATCAAGTGAGGCTGTATCTTGAGATGGTTGCCAAAACTCTGCGTGATGTTGGCATTTTCACACATGGTCGCTGGACGTATGATCAAACCCAGAGATTGGCTAGTGTTATGACTACGATAGGTAGGTTGGTATACTCCAAGTTAGTGAATAGAAAAGAACGCAGGTATTCTTGTGAAACAAAAGCCCCGCAATTCAACAGGCCATGGTCAACTATATATATATACTATGAAATGCGGTAGAAAATCCGCAAGCATTTCTGGCTGATTGACATTACAAGACAGAATAGCGATACCTTCAACTCTCTCATCCGGTTTCAGAAGCTTCAGAATTAGAGAGGCACATCAAAACTTCTTCAGATTCGACTCCAGTCTCTTCAGTCATGCCCTTTGCACCATCATCTCAAAGACACATTGATCTTGGGCACAGGTGGTATCATCTTGATATTCACAAGATCTTCAAAGACGGCGAGGAAGGACTCTGTCGTATCCACGGTACCGTGCCACCCGAGCTTCCTGCTTTTAGCCATGCTGCAAAGTGTCAGCTTCGTCCATATAACCGAGCCAGTGACAGCGTCGTGGGTCATCTCACCTCATCATCAGCGACCCCGCGCGGGAGACGCTGCCATCCAGGAACCCAAAGACTCTGTCCACATCTTTGAGCTCCTTCTGCGACAGGTCGTGTTTTTCGGCCAACCTCTTCCATGCCTTTTGCACTTCCGGGCGCTTCGCCCACTCGACAAAGGTGAAAGTGGTTCGGACCACGCCCGACGGACCGTACCCGCGGGGATTGAATCGAGTATGGATCTCGTGGAACTCTGCCTTGTCATCTGGTCCTCTCCACTCGAGTCCATACCAGCCAGCGAGGTGAGGCCAGAATCCTTCCCAGGTAAAAGCGCTGTCATCGCATGCATTAAATCGCTGGTTTTCAGCGCCGGGAGTAAGGACAGCCCATTCCTCCATATATGCTATATTCAAATTCAGTCTTACAATTTACCATTTGATCCCAGGCAAGAGAAGGCTTACCATTCATCATGGCGCTGCTCTGGGAACAGTATGTCTGCCACGAGCTGATGTCGGATGGCCACAGCAGGGGTTGCTCCAGCTCTACGCAGACGGCAGCATATACAGCTAGGGGAAAGGACAAGTTCACTCAGATTTGCTGTTAGCATGTCGCCATCCCAGACTCTAGTGTCAGAATTATTGACACAAGGTTTCATCAAGCGTCCGACCAACGAAAAGGGCAAGAATAAATTGGAAAGAAGAAGCTTACTCGCGGCATCAGGTACAGCTCCCAGAATACCACACGGCATGAGCACATTCCAACCGATGCCCTCCTCCTGACAGTACTTGAAAAGAAAGTCTTCCTGGGAGTAGTAAAAGTTGGGCTCGAGCTCGACGCGCGGGTCCGACTCCTCCTGGGGCAGCTTGGTCGGGCCCAGATGAACACCATAGTTTTTGGCGCCCGTCTGCAGCATGAAGCGCCGAGGCTTGAGATGCGCGAGGCGCATGGCCTCGACAAAGTTGCTCAGAAGCAGGGCGTTGACGCGGTCCATCTCGTCGGCGTCGGACCACAGCCCGCCGCCCTCCTTTGGCGCCGGCTGCAGGTAGGCAAAGAAGAAGACATAGTCGGCGCGCACGCCCTTGGCCTGCAGCACGCCTGCGATTTCGTCGGGCGACTTTAAAAAGTCCAGCGCCACGTGCTCGGCGTTGGCGGGCAGTCCGCCTGGTATATACGGCGGGCGCCGGCTCAGGCAGTAAATCTTTGACCATCGTTTGGGCGATGCGCCTAGCACTCTGAGCATGTGATAGCCTGAGATGCCATTGGCGCCCGTAATGACGGCTGTCAAGCCCTCGACATCGTCGGGGTAGACTGGGAGTCCATGATATATATCGATGCTCTGGACTTTCTGTACAGACATTTTCAGGCTATTATCAGCACGTCAAAAATATCTTGGGCTGTTTGAAGTGTTGCAAGACAATATCCGGCGCAGTGATATTTATAATGCGAGTATTAATAATTGTCTACCCACAGTGCCTCTTAATGAAGTGTATGCCGACTTGGTGCGGGGATGTCTATATGTTGCGTCATTCCGGATGCAGCAGAGTTTCGGCAACGGCAATAATTTGAGAAGGTGTGAATGATAGCTGTACAATTCATTCTGATTCGCTTAAAAGATTTTGCCAGTGCCAGATGCCCGCAACCGATGCACCAGTATTATGGAGTCTGAGGGTATGGCCTTCTAGTGAATGGATATATAACTTGCTGGAATGCGCCGGTGCCGCACTCAGCAAGCTGATTATATGATTTCGGTTGCAAATGTCCGTAACGTGCTCCATAAACACGGAGGTGCAGGTGTGGCCAGCATGAGCCTATCTACTGTTCTACATGCACTCCTGATTTGCATATTTGCCACCTCTTTAGTTCGAATTCGATCGAAAAGAATTCGCGTAGAACACGAAACATTAAATACCCAAATAAGAGGGGTTATACCACGATAACGCTACTGTTTTAAGATGTCGACTTATGGATCCTTACTTTCATGATAAACAAGTGATCCTGTCCTTCCATGTGGCCATGTGGATTATTTACCGAAAAAAAAAAAANAAAAAAAAGACTGGAATTGCAGGCTATAATTGTGAATGAGTATCGCGCAGGTTCCAATCTCTTGATAGAAAGAATTAACCTAGTGCACTCATCAAAAAAGGAGCCCACTAGGTAATCGTTAGCAGTAGCAGTAGGTAATACCCTCTTTGCCAAGCGGGATCGCTTGTATTATCCAGGAACCGTGGAATTAAATTCTACTGAAACCCTGTGACTGAGAACAATAGCATGTTCGGACAGCTACAATCTAAAATGGCTGCATCCGTGGATATGGCCTACCAAGCATTGCATTGAAGCTTGAATAGAAAAAATACAAGGAGGACCTTCGCCGTTGTATACTTGCACGCTAATCCCTCAAGACGTTGTGATTACCTACCTGGTTAGAGGAACGCAGAATCATACTTCATAAAGAACAGACAAAGCATCACACATATGCACAATATTGAAGCGATCGCACTTTCAAGTACCTTGAGGGCCGAAAATGGTGCTCCTCGTGACTTGGCGAAACTCAGCCAATCACTGTGCTCGCATTTGTCTGACACCACCTCTCCCCACGCTTGGCATGTTCCACACAGAAGAGAAAGAGGTCGGATTATTTCCAAGAGTCGACGCGCGTTCAAAGAAGATGTTCTTGAAAACTTTTCCCAAGCATTTCCGTGATTGCCTCGTTAGACTCTCTCGCTTCACTTGACTGGGTTTCAGTGACTGGGTAGAGAGAGTGGTTGTGCCAGCTTGACACCCTCCAGAATGGACACCGACATTAGCCGCAAAGAGGCGACGATAGCGTCCAAGGTCAGAGTCTTCATGCTTGGAGATGAGGCCCAGAGCAAAGAAGAACGTTGGCTTGTGCAGAAACTTGGTAACAAGATTTCAAAGACGGCAACTTTAAGAGGCTGGTGCTGACTTGCACTAGATTTCTTCATTCTCACCTATTGCTGTCTAAGCTACTTTTTCAACTACTTGGATCGGGCCGCATTTGCAAATGCTTACGTTGCTGGGTTAAAGGAAGATATTCACTTGGAGGGCAGCAACTATAATGTCGTGCTCGCCATGTTCACGGCCGGGTCCGTCATTGGACAGATCCCACACGGAATCATTATTCAAAAGATCGCGCCGCGCATATGGCTACCATCCATGGTTTTACTTTGGGCAGGGTTGACCATGTGTACGGCGGCGTGCAAAACATATGCTCAACTCTGCGTCGTACGGTTCCTGCAGGGCCTCGCCGAAGCCAGCACGTATTGCGGGACAATCTATATCATCGGATCGTGGTATAAACCACGGGAGATCGCCAAGCGCACGGCCATTTTTACCGCCTCTGGCCAAGCTGGATCCATGTTTGCCGGCATCATGATGACGGCCATTTACAACGGCATCAACAATGACGCCTTGAAAGGCTGGCAGTGGGTGTTTATCATCAATGGAATCATTACCTGTCCCATTGCTGTCATGGGATTTCTGTACTTTCCAGACACACCCGAGCTCACTCAGGCACCATGGCTGAGCAAACCAGAGCGACAACTCGCACTGCTCCGACTGCCGCCGAAAAAGGTTGACGGACATGACATTAGTCCGTGGTCGCTATTCGTTCGCACCTTGACCTCACCAGCGCTCTACATCCTATGTCTCTTTGCCGTCGTGACCGGAGCACTAGAGGCGTTTGTCGTACAAAATCTCTTCCTTCTTTGGCTGAAATACTACCAGGACTTCTTTAGCCAGGCACAGATCAACACTTACCCTCTAGGAATTCAGGCCGTCGGGATCGTGTCCAACTTTTTGGCTGCAGTTCACATCGACGCAACAGGGAAAAGGGCTCCGATGGGTGTTCTCGTCTGCTTCCTGCAGCTGGTCTCGGCCATCATTCTGCTCGTCCCTAATCCGCCCTTTGCAGCCACCTTCTTCGCCTACTACCTTTCCGGAACCTCTTACATGGTAAATCCTGTCTCGTACGGTTGGGCCAATATCATTTGTCAGCGCGGAGGAGACGATGCCGTCCGATCGATTATCCTCTACTCCATGAACGCGGCATCCACATGCCTGTATACCTTTTGGGGCATTGCCCTCTATCCGGCCTCGGACGCGCCCTACTGGAAGAAGGGTTCCATAGCCATGATTGTCGTCATTGCCATCATGCTCGTAATGGTCTGGGTCGTGCAAAAGCTGGACGAGAAGACCCTGGCACAATACCCAGACACGGCTGTTCGTGATCTCCCCGAGGGTTCCCTGGAAGACTCAACAATCCTAGAGACAAGGTCAGAGGACGAATTTGATGATGAAAATATTGGACAGGACCAAAGATTGCTGATTGATTTTACGGATAGGAATCCGGAGGATGTGGCTCGAAAGAGACGGCATATTTCCCAGGTTGCTTTGGATTGACATGATTGAGGGCTGGCTGTTGGCTAGGCAGGAATAGCACACGCTTGGTGCTAGCGGATTTGTTGCCGGAGAAGTGAGTAGAGACACTGGATCAAGTCCGGCCTAGTAATCTTCTCGCAGTATACTTCGTCCTTGATTATGCAATAATCGTGTCAGATTGAAGTGCTGCCATTGTTGTTTAGGCCAATCTCAAGCCCACCGCCACGGAAGAGAGCAAGCGATGAGAGACGCAGTGACTGCCACCTATCATGGCAAGGTCTCGGCGCTAAGAAATGCGGTAAACGCCCAGAGTGTAGGCGGAATCGGTAATGGGTGCAAAAAACCCATAACAAAGCGGTCGCCACGGGATAGAAACGATGCTTCTCTTGGAGTATAAAGTTTTGGCCCAAGACCGCCCCTTTGCGGCCTGACTAGTACCCGTGTCTTATTGGTAAGCCTCCCAAGTACAATGAGGGCAATCATGGTCATGGCCGGGGTAGGATTTCTCCTGAAGGCCTGTTGAGGACTGTCGCAGAAACGTCAACATTTGAGGGAATGGCTTGGCTCACACGTCAGGTGTGTGCCCAGGCTTCATGCTACTCGAGTCGTTGCGACCATGACTTTCTGTGGCAGTCTCCATATAGCATGATATATAAAGTACAATCAATTCGCTAGCATGGCGTATTCATGACATAAACTCCGAAAACCAAGGTATAACGCCGATGGATCGTCGTGGTATGCCCAGCATGCATAAGTGCCAGAATAGAACAAAGTCCAAGCTAGAGTGGGAAGATGTACACGGCCAGCAGCCCTACAGCCCGTTGAGGCGCATGCCGTTGTACCCTTCTTCAGGGTATATTGTGACCGATATGGTGGCGGGAATAAACGTGCGAAGTCTGGGTGGTGTTTGGGTTAATAGCCCTCATGAGTTCTGTGTTACATCCCGCCGTTATCTGGGCCTGTTCAAGTCCGCTCAACCCGACCAAGAGAACCTTACCACAGACATGTGCATGGTAGTGAAAAGCACGTAGGAACAAGTGACAGTCAGCAACCACACACTCTCCAGCCATCCAAGACGCAGTTAAGAAGTTGCAAGCCCGAACCAGATTTCTTGACATTGCTTGATATAGACCGGCAAGACACGTAGAATGAAGAACTCAAAAGTTTCCGACCGCTTGATTGTCTGACCGGATCCTCGCCACGCCCTTGGCAGTGAGCCCTAACCAGCTCGCTGCACACGTATACCCACCCCTCATTATGTATGAATTCAGGACGTTGCAGTACGAGTCAAAGGGTAGGTCGAAGCCGTATTCCTAGGCCAAGACAACCGCTGTCTTTGAGCTGGTTTCGATGCATCGCCCGGTAGTGGCGAGGCGTTCCGTATATGGCACACGGCTACAAATATCCGCATATTGAGGTCGAGTCTTAGGTTATGGATGTGCACCATAACTTTTTATCCAGGCCCCCGCTATTCCCCTCCACAGCCACTCTTTAGGGGACCTACACGTGACTTTTGGCTTCTAACTTGCGGGTCATGGTCAAGCTTGGCGGTCCGTTCCAACAGCGCCTGGGGTGTAGAGGTCTCTTATTAACTGCCTGTACAATATTGGTCATCAACCTCCCTACACACACCAGGGGCTTGTACTGTCTCGGCGATATCAAGAGTATTCTTCAATCCGCCTCAGAGGCAAGCCAAGACCCAGCAGGCCACCCTATCAAGGAGACGACCGGCTCATAGACTGGCTCGCCAACTGAAGGACGGCTCCAGCTAGCCCCTGGGGACATAATCTTGTTGGACCAGGCCAAGACCAGGCTTGTCATTCTTACAATAGGCAAACATTGAAGCACTGCTGCGCCCGAAAGATCGACGGTCCGGGCATTTCATTGGCCTGATAGAGCGGTCTCTATACTGTTTGACCCTCTTGAGACGGTTCGAATCGGAAACCTTGCTGCTGAAACTGGACGAATTAGACTTGGACTTGTACCCCAAAAAAGAAGCAGGTCTAGGAGGCCAACAGGGTCCAAGTTAGGAGAGACACACTCGAGAACTATAAACTCTAGTCCCCTCGTCTTCCAGAATCTGTCGCCATGGCCAACTCTTCGGTGTCTCGTGATGTCGTGGACAATTCCGACGCAGCTGCCACTGCAAACACTGCCGCTATACTCCCTGATGATCAGCCAATCATGACACCGCAAGATATCGAGGCACTTTTTGCGAGTGGCAAACATCGACTGCTGCAACAAGTACGCACTGTAGTCTCGGGCGATGATGATGATGATGACGATGACGAGTCGTTGCTCCCTGAAGAGGAACTATCATGGCGAGTTGAACAGCTGAGTCATGTGCTGTCGACGTTGCGCAAACTCCTCGAAACAGGAAGTACAGAGCTCGACGCCATTGCTCAAAAGTTGGGAGATGGCAGCAGAGATGGTGAGTCCTTGATTTCTTTTTTTTTTTTCCTCTTCCCCCCCCCC